TGGGGGCGTTTCAGGCAATTGGTGGGGGCGTTTCAGGCAATTAGTGGGGGCGTTTCAGGCAATTAGTGGGGGCTTTTCAGGAGATTGGTGGGGGCGTTTCAGGCAATTAGTGGAGGCGTTTCAGGCAATTAGTGGGGGCGTTTCAGGCCATTAGTGGGGGCGTTTCAGGCAATTATTGGGAGAATTTGTCTTTTTGTGGCATAGGAAGCAAAAATGTTGCCCTTAAACGTGCTAACCACGCCCCCACCCACCCACACCTTTTTTTTTTTTTTTACATTTTTACGCTGTTTTTTAGATACTAAAATGGAAGAAAAAACTGTATGTGACAGTTGCTACCCTTGAACCGGAATAGGAAACTTGGGATTCGCACGCTGGCGGCCGCTATGACTTGTCTTGAGCTTAACACATCGTTAACTTTTAGAAAGTGTTGCCAAAGTCAAATAAATACAGCTCTTTAATTCCATCTCAAACAGATTTTCTTGCTTTTCTTCGTTTGCTGGGGTTTTGAACTGCTGTCCACACGTTTCGTATCGTCTCAAGCAACGCCACTGTTAATAAAGAGGTCTTCGATTTAAAAAAAGAAATATTTGAAGGCAGTAAGTATCTCTTAAATGTTGCAATAAAAAAAAGTGTTACGGAAAACTGGTATATGCACTGACTTATGTGCATAAACTAAGCATCTGTTCTTGTGTGTATCAATGAGACATATGCACTTATGTGCATCAACTAAGCTTCTGTTCTTGTGTGTATCAATAAGACATATGCACTGATGTGCATCAACTAAGCTTCTTTTCTTGCGTGTATCAATAAGAAAAATGCACTCATGTGCATCAACTAAGCATCTGTTCTTGTGTGTATCAATAAGACAAATGTACTCATGTGCATCAACTAAGCATCTGTTCTTGTGTGTATCAATAAGACAAATGTACTCATGTGGATCAACTAAGCAGCTGTTCTTGTGTGTATCAATAAGACAAATGTACTCATGTGCATCAACTAAGCAGCTGTTCTTGTGTGTATCAATAAGACATATGCACTTATGTGCATCAACTAAGCTTCTGTTCTTGCGTGTATCAATAAGAAATATGCACTCATGTGCATCAACTAAGCATCTGTTCTTGTGTGTATCAATAAGACATATGTACTCATGTGCATCAACTAAGCATCTGTTCTTGTGTGTATCAATAAGACAAATTTAAATGTACTCATGTGCATCAACTAAGCATCTGTTCTTGTGTGTATCAATAAGACAAATGTACTCATGTGCATCAACTAAGCGTCTGTTCTTGTGTGTATCAATAAGACAAATGTACTCATGTGCATCAACTAAGCGTCTGTTCTTGTGTGTATCAATAAGACAAATGTATTCATGTGCATCAACTAAGCTTCTGTTCTTGTGTGTATCAATAAGACAAATGTACTCATGTGCATCAACTAAGCGTCTGTTCTTGTGTGTATCAATAAGACAAATGTATTCATGTGCATCAACTAAGCGTCTGTTCTTGTGTGTATCAATAAGACAAATGTACTCATGTGCATCAACTAAGCGTCTGTTCTTGTGTGTATCAATAAGACAAATGTATTCATGTGCATCAACTAAGCGTCTGTTCTTGTGTGTATCAATAAGACAAATGTACTCATGTGCATCAACTAAGCATCTGTTCTTGTGTGTATCAATAAGACAAATGTACTCATGTGCATCAACTAAGCATCTGTTCTTGTGTGTACCAATAAGACATAAGTAATTATGTGCATCAACAAAACATATGTTCAGGTGACAAATAAACAAAACTGTTTTTCAATAGCATTGATCTTTGTTTCTTATTGTTAAACTTTTGATTCAACTAAAGTTTCACTATTGATTTTATTCTGAAGAACGACTGTAAAAATCTTTATCGATCTCAAAAATACAATTGCATTAGGTTAAAACATAAGAATCATAGCCAATAACTAACACTCACATTGCAAGTAATATTAAATTGTCCTAGATCCACTGAAGCGTTATAGACATAATTTTCAGCCTTGATTGTTACTTTTTTAGCATATAGAAATATGTTAACATAATAATATCGCTATGATCTCTAGACTTATACAATAAAATTATTTAGTTTCACTGATTAACATAGCTAGGGTTAGTTCCACCAGGGGCGGGTCAAAGGTTTCTGCCAACTCTACCACACAAAAAAAAATGAAAAAAAAAATAAAAATAAAAAAAAAATAATAATTTAAAAAAAAAATAAATAAAAGAGTCGGCAATTTGCTGACACAGACGCCCCATAAGATAATGAAAACCATGGCGGCCAGTGGCGGACCTCCGAGCTCCCCGTCACAGTTTCCCCCGCTTCTGGCGCCACACAGTTATTTTGTTCCGACTTGATTCCGTTCCATGTAAGTGACCAAATGGCAGCAATGGACGTGTCTAAACAGAAGTCAGCGTTACACGGGTGAACACGTCAGTGGATCAATGCAGACTTGCATACTCTAAAAGGTTGAATTTTAACGTTCCAAATACTAAAACAACAGTATGTTTGTGTGTGCTTTTTTTTGGCGCAGGCATCTGATTTCAGAACACTTGCAAGTAACGTGGCGGCTCATGCATTATATCAGATAACCTTTGCCCCCACTACGACAAAAAAAAGTTCAAAGCTTTTTCTAACTTTTCTCCTTGGTTGATATCGGCTAATAAGAACAAATAATATATATTGTATATATATATATAATAAATATGTCTGTTTATATCTATTATAATAATAATCTAGCATATATTTTCCCTTCTCTGGACATCAATAAATTATTCCAAAGCTTATTTATAATTTCAGACAGCTGTACTTTAGAATACATTAACTGCTATATTATTTTTTTTATTATTTACATATTCTATGGACATATTATCGGAAATACTGTAAGATGATAAATGCCCTCTATACTCGCATATAAGCCTACATCGCGTATAAATAAGCCGACGATAAACATTTTCTGTTTTCTTTAGTATTTTTTCTTAATTTTATGCCGTTTTTGACTTTGAAAATGAATTATCCATGGTAATTTTCATACTCAGTATAATTATCAGCTATGCATACATTAAATTCTTTGAAGTGACACCTCTGTATATATATATATTAGTACTTTGTACACACAACCAAATAAAGAGTCAGATTGCGATGAAAATGTGTGGCTGGAAATTTGGCATTGGTGTCTGTCCTTGTGTCCATTTTGTTTTATGTGCATATAAGCCGACCCCCTGATTTCAGTATTGTATGTTATAGTTATAAATTCGGCTTATATGCGAGTATATGCGTTAAATAAACGTACATCATTCTGTTCTTTTTTTTTTTAACAACGATCGCTATATATAAAAAAGCTTCTTTTACATCAAGATCGTATGGTTGTGGAGCGGTCTTAATGAAAACACGAATTCTACGCACGATACGCCACAAGAGAGCGACTCATGTTTACTGGAAACACAGCAACCCTGTCAACAAAACGTGACCTTATTCAACCTCATCGGATTTCCTGAGAAAATTATTGACATGACCTGGCCTGGATGTTTCAGGAATAATCCCGAAATTTTTAGAAGCGCGCAAGTCATTTCCATTTGATTGAATGACATATGTTGGTCCACTTTTCTTACTTTAAAGGCCGATGTTGGTTTGTGCGCAAAATGAAATGGGTTTTGTTGTTTTTTTAGCATGTAATATTCCTAACATATTAGCAGCCATGTTATGGTTAAAAGTGAATTACTAGTTACGACCAGGGTACGGAAAGGTGATACGATGGATCACGGATCATTTGTTGAAGGGGAATAAAAGCATGCAGATTCCTGTCAGAACTATATAAGCCCGTGATATCCATTTGATAACAACTCTGCCATATTTACAATAAGATGAATAAAACTACTGGACAAGTCTCTGAACACACACACACACACACAAACATATATATATATATTATATTAAATGATAATATTATATTATATGAAATTCTTTCGTATCTCTCTCCTCCCGCTCTCCCTCTCTCTCTCTCTCCCTCTCTCTCTCTCTCTTTCTCTCTAAATATATATATAAGACAATAAAGCCAGCGTTGGCCGTCACTGCATTGTGAAAAAAAAAATATTCTACAGCCTTTTAGCGAACATCAGATTTAAGGGGCCTATAAAACAATAACAAAAAAACAAAAAACTGGTCGCTTAAGTGCAGGTAATCACATTTAATATTTGCCTACTGTGACATTACTAAACGGGAAATCACGTAATAATTCTTTAAATACTTAAATGACACAGTTAGTTTCAATTGATTGCATTCAGATATGACGCAGTGGCTGTCCTTGGAGCTCATGGACCGTGGCAAGACATAACTTGTCCAAGTGAATAGGGGGGAAACAGCCACTAGGATCATACACATTACTTTTATTTCAATAAATGTGTACGTGTGTGTGTGTGTGTGTGTGTTATTTAGTCTTCACGCATGAGGGAGTGCACCAATGTTGTTTTAACATTCTGGAGTCGGCCATAGGATCTCTGTCAAGGTGATAACAAACAATTGCAAAAGTAAACATCTCTAATTATTACAAATCGCATGAAAGATTTATTTTAACATGTTTTAATTTAACTTAATTGTATTTCTATTATCTTGCCTGGGACAAATATTGTCTCTTGTATCATGCATGAATTCCTTACCGAAATGGGTTTTTTTAAATTACTAATTTCATATACTTAGCCTTTTTAGATTATTGTTATTATTTCTGCTATCATTTGCTTTCAATAAGTTCACAGCTTCGTGTTTAACTTTCTATTTCATGCTGATGTTTTTTTTTCTCCAGATTATTCTCTGTTCATCTCAAGATTCTTTAATTATATGGTACAAGGACGAAGACAAACTTCTCGATTATAACATGTGTGGTTCCCATATCTAAATAATGGCTAGTTATCTAATTTTCCTGAGCCCACTGCTGTTTTTCACTTTATGCTCAACTGCATCTGCCAATTCGACGTGCCAGTTCTCTATACCGAACAACGATACTTTATTTAAAAAGCTCTCCAAACATTTTGACAAGCACAGCAACACGATCGTCATCGAATACACCATCAGACTGAACAACGGAAGTGGTGAATTCAATCTCTACAAAGGTTCAAATTCAAATTCCTTTGAGCCATGGAAGTAAGTGAGAATATTCATTGGAAAGCGATCCGTTTTTGTAGTCCTTGTGTTTATTATGTTTTTAAAAAAAAAAAACAAACAAGGACGTAAAGAGTGGGTACATTAAATTCTTGGCTTCAACTATCTTTGTAAAAGCTTATTTGTCAACTAGGATGATCACAGCTAAATTAAAGTAGTGCTTTTAAAAAAAATATAAAATTGGGAATGAAAATATTTATTTAAACACAGGTAGTTTTAAGAAAATGAATTTAGTAAAGACCCTTATAAAGTGAAATAAGTCTTGAAAGGAAATTTTAAAATAAAAAAAACAAGAAGATATTTCTCAATCTTGCACACACAAAAATTCGTACTCAACTAAATCCACAAGTTCTTTCTCTTTAAAATTTAATCTACTGAGACAGACATATATTAAAATTTTGAGACCTACATAATAACATGGCTACGTGTAATTTTTATGTTATCTAAAATACTGATGTCCTCCACATAAACCAACAGCTGATATCGTTTAGTTATGATGCTTTCCCAAATGGCAGTGGTATTGGCAAATGGGCACTTCCTTTTTTCCAATTCAAACACTCTCATTGATTATTTATGTAAGAAAATGTAAACGACACGAAAAGCTAAACATGTGGGCATTCAATCAGTAGTTACCAAATAGATACGTCCATAATCTTAAATTGATGTTTTTACGTGTCATTCCATACGTGAAAAAACGCGAAGTATTCGTGAATCGTGTTCCGAATCTCTATTTGACAGGTGGTACAGGACACAGGGCGCTGGCAATTCCCATGTCTTGCTGACCTACGATTTCTACTTTGGCATTCTGAAAAGTATTTTAGCTTTAGGCACCCGTCAGTATGTTATTAATATTGATGTCCAACCACTGTCGTGTGTGGAGAGTGAGAACTTTGACCTTTTCATCAGAGACATCCTCTTACAAGGTGAGGCAATAACTGTAGTAGTCCAATAATTAATTGTAGAAAAAAAAAATTATGACACAATGATGGTGCACATACAAAGAATTATGTAATTATTATCTCTGCAGATTTTAAAATCAGTGGCAACTCAACGTATCGGGCTTATCCTAAAGCAGATGATGTTGACGTCTGTACGGCTCGAATTGACGAAACCAACGATGGTCGCGGTGAGCTAGTATTCAGGTAACTTGGTATCATTATTAGATGTTAATAGCCATTATTAAGTAGATTGATGATTGTTCTTCGACTTACAACAAAAACAACTACAACATTGGAATAATTTGTTAAATTAGAACGACCAAGTCGCAGCTGCACACAATGGGGAATTTTAAAAAAGAAAATTAAAGAAACCGATTGCGTCTTGTCGTAAAAATAATACTTTCACAGTCTTACTTGTGGTATGAATTTTTGTTAAATGACGAACCACAAAATTTACATAACAAATTGTAAGCATGTTTAAATAGGTGTTCGAAAAAAAACTAATTTTTAACTGTAAGAACTCTTGTGAATGGAGGCAGCAGTGGCGTAGCGAGGCAGGTGCGGGGGGTGCGGACCGCACCGGGTGACACCATTTTAGGGGTGACACCATTTTAGGGGTGACACCATTTTAGGGGTGGAACCCGATTGAAAAAGTGCATATTTACAGTGCACACATTGCTCGCAAAAAACGAGATTCATAAAAGAATAACCGATCACACATATATTTTTCACAAATGTAACCAATCCAAATGCGTGCTTTATTAAAAGTTCAAGGTTGATGCTATACTGTGGACTTATTTTAATAAGAAAAAATCGATCACAGAAGTTTGGGGGGGGGGGAGGGGGGGAGAAATCATTAATGGAGTGAAGGTTTTTATATTGTAATTGTTTATATGGGCAGTCAAGAAGCGACCTGACTTTAAAAGCGTGCTTTATTAAAAGTTCAAGGTTGATGCTATACTGTGGACTTATTTTAATAAGAAAAAATCGATCACAGAAGTTTGGGGGGGGGGAGGGGGGGAGAAATCATTAATGGAGTGAAGGTTTTTATATTGTAATTGTTTATATGAGCAGTCACGAAGCGACCTGACTTTAAACATCCCCAGTTCTAGCATTTTAGAGAAGACAAATGACCAGTGACTAGCTTGAGGGATGCGGGGGACCCGGACCGCACCAGGTGACGTCATCTCAAGGGCGACACCACATGAAGAATTGCATATTTACAGCGTACGCACTGCTCAATCTAACCGAGATTCATAAAGGATAACCGATCACACGTAAATTTTTCACAAATGTAACCAATCCAAATACGTGCTTTATTAAAAGTTCAAGGTAAATGCGTTAGAAATGAGCTGACCCTATAATTAAGTCAGAAAAACAGTCATTATTCAACGCCGAATGAAGTTTTCGGTAACTTCCGTAAGTGATAGGAAGCTATATTTATCTAAATTCTTAGAAAGAAGGCTTTCCATTGATACCAATCACGATGTGGTCGGAAGATTCTAATTAAAAAAATATAATCGGTAAAAATTAAAAACATGAAAAATGAATTTTTACCCATTTATAGGTGTTGCCAAATATTTTTTTTACAAAGTTTTCAATCTTTTAATTATAAATTCAAATTTATTAAAATTTTTGAAATTTTTTTTATAAAACGTATACAATATTATATATCGAAATCAAGAAATACTCAAAAATTAATAATTTCATCGATTCATCAGTAGTAACGCCTCTTAAAATTTGAGCGCGAGTGTCATGTTTCGTCTGCTGGGTTTTACCTGTCCCCTTTCTGTGTTGTATTTTGATAATGTCCTTACTGTTGTTTTTGAACTGTCGTAAGTAATTATTAATAATTTTTTTTGGTTGTCTTGAACACGACAAAATTATAGCATTTTTTGTTGTTCAAGTATATTCTACCATGCCACTCGGCGTGCACAAATCTAAACGGCCTTGTAGTTGCCAGCAGCGAAAAGCAAAGAAGAATGGTGTGGCTGACAAAAATCACTACCAGGATACGTGCTTCGATTTTGCCAGAAACCCAACGATTACTATGGCTCATCAAGAGACGTTCCACAGCCAACCATAGATACTGTTTCCTCCGAATGCCTCCTGATACCAGAAGCATGCAATCTATACATCAAATAGTGGAGAAAATGGAAACGATTAACGTGAAAATACAAGTAAAAGACATGGATGGTTTGGAAACAGAAATATCTGCTGATAATTTTGATTCCCGGTTAATGACAAAAAGCGGGCACTTTTTGACAGATGCTTATCTCTGGAGTGTACAAATTCCAGATTATTTTTGCTATGAAATTATTAATATATTGAGTGCCTTGTTTCAGAACAAGGACGGACCAATCAGCGCATTGACTAGGCAAGATGGGAAATCTAAAGGGGTTGTGCGTCAACTAACAAAGCAATGGTTCTACAGCTGTGGTTTTCAACCTTCCTAATGCCCCGAAACTTAAATACAGTTTCTCATATTGTGCTTACCCCAAACCAACAATCATTTTCCTTGATTCTTCATAAATGTGTGTTTTCCGATGTCCTTAGGCAAGGGTCTTTCGACACTCGAAAGGGTCGCGACCCACAGGCTGAGAACCGCTGTTCTACAGTATGAAACCAAATGACGAGAATATGCTTCAGCCGTGAATGTATTATTAACTCGTCAGTAAGAAATTGTACTTTTTGGCTGTAGATTGTTTTTTTTTAATGTTACAGAAACAATGTAACTTTGATAAGGGTGGAAACTGAGCACAAAATTACAAATCATGAGGCATCGGAAGAACACCTATTTTCCCTTGAAAAGTGAAAAGAGCAGGACTTAAGATACACAAATTGAGGCAGAAAATATTGCTATGATGGACAGGGAGCAGAAAAAGTTAAGGGTTCATGTGAGGGAAGCTTTTCAAAACTAAGCCTTATTAAGAGCTATTTACGTTCCACCTTCGACCAGTCAAGGCTTTCTGATCTGGCTCTGCTATCAATTGAAAGTGATGCGGTGAAGGATGTTGATTTTGATCAAACGATTTACAGGTTTGCAGCTTTGAAGACCAGGAAAGGAAATTTTAAATGAAGTAAATTCAATGTTAAAATAACTGTAACGTAAGGCTATTACAGTTTTTAAGTACGTGCACTCCATGACCATAATTTATGTTTTTTTTTCCCCTTGTCATTGTTTTACTGTTACTGTGGACTTATTTTATCTAGAATATCATGGAATATGGGGGGGGGGGGGACCCCATAAGTTTACCGCAACGGATGACAGCAAGCTTAGGGTCGCCCCTCCAAAGAACCAATGCTACATAAAACAATTTTTTTTTAGTTTTTAAGTACGTGCACTTCATGACCTTAATTTATGTTTTTTTTTCCCCTTGTCATTGTTTTACTGTTACTGTGGACTTATTTTATCTAGAATATCATGGAATATGGGGGGGGGGGTGACACCATAAGTTTACCGCAACGGATGACAGCAAGCTTAGCGTCGCCACTGCAAAGAACCAATGCTACATTATACAATTTTTTTTTTGAAATTCCGGATCTTATTCAACAGTGCCTTAAAAAAAATAATCGGTTTTTCTCTTGTTTATGCTCTTTCCTTTGCCAAAGCAATTAAAATAAACCCTCTCTCTATCTTTCTTTCTATTTATCTCTCTCTTTCTCTCTCTCCTTCTCTCTCTTCCTCTCTCTCCTTTTCGTTTGTGTTGCTGGTTGGTTTGGTGGTGGTCTGTCTGTAATAATGAGACGATGTTGTCTCTGAAATAAATGATAAGACTTGAGATTTTGTTAGAAGAATAAGCTGTATCCTTATCAGAAGAATCCCCCCCCCCAACCAAACCTTATTTCATCTGCTTCTTTTGATACGTAGGGACCATCAAGTGGGTTAACAGTTTGTCATAAGGTAAATTGCAGGCATTGCCGGAATTTACATTAAGTCAGCGACATATCGCATACACGATGTGTATGTTTCGGTTGCCTCCCTTGGACTAGAGCAGTCACTTAAAAATCGCAAGGCTGTGGAGATCTCAATCAATTTCCTCCATTCTCAATGTTAACGAATCGAACAAAATCGAAGAGCTTTGTTTTATTATTGACTCTTTTTTCCCCTAAAGAGATTAACCAGACACATTGCTTGAAATCGAAATGCCCTTCGACATTCGACAGTCTGCTAGTGCTTTTGGTTACTTTGCACACTAAACAAGGGGATTTGTTGCACACCAAACACATGGCTTTGTTGCACACTAAAAACAGGGATTTGTTGCACACCAAACACAGGGCTTTGTTGCTCACCAAACACAGGGATTTGTTGCACACCAAACACATGGCTTTGTTGCACACCAAACACAGGGATTTGTTGCACAACAAACTCAGGGCTTTGTTGCATACCAAACACAGGTGGGTTTTTTTACGCTGCGTTGGACCAGAAATAATGTGTCAGTCCAAACGGGTTTGAAGACACGACGTTCGTGGTCACCCTTCCGGGGACTGGTAGCTGCGCATTACTTCTGCCTTTAAGCCTAGTAATTGTGGTTACTGTGCGGGAACTCGATGTTGGTCATGTGACAATGGGATACACGTTGCCCAGCGCTCTAATTCGAACGATTGTCAGAGCTGCCATCCTTCATTCTCGGAATTGTTTCTCGGAAGCGTCGTGATTGAATGAGAAATCAGTGTCGTGATTGTGGAAGAAATCTGTGTCACCATTGTTTAAGAAAACAGTGTCGTGATTGTGTAAGAAATCAGTCTCAAAATTGTGTGAGAAATCAATGTAATGATTGTTTTAGAAATCAGCTTCGTGATAATGTACTTAATCAGTGGCATGGCTGAGTAAGAAATCCGTTCCATCATTGTGTGAGAAAACAGTGCCGTGATTGTGTAAGAATTCAGTGTCACGATTATTTAAGAAATCAGAGTAATAATTGCGTGAGAAATCAGTGCCGTGATTGTGATAGAAATCAGTTTCATGATTATTACATAAGATGTTTTATTTATTAAAATTAAGTTAAGTCAGAAAGTTGTTTTTTTTAAAATCACTATGTATGAAGAAGTTTAATTTTTTTTTTCCACTACGCCATGGCCCATCCTACATGGGATAATTCTTTTTTTTTTTTAAAGTATACAATGGGTAATGCAAACACTTTTTATTATTTTCTCCACAGATGTTGCAGCTACGACTCTGAGAAGAAAATATTTTGTGATGACAAATCTGTGAACATCTGGGGCTATGCTCTCAACATAGTCGTCATAGTAATATCCGTGTTTCTGGTGTGCTGCTTTCTCTGGGTGGTCCAAAGAGAGCATGAGTACTTACACACTAAATATGTTTATAATTTGATTAATAAGATTTTGTTGTCTTTTTGGGTTGTGCGGGAGATTGCGTATAAATAGTTTTGGCATTTAAAAGTAGAAGAAATTCATTTGACGTATACTTCTTAACTTAATAATTTAGAAACATAACATTTTTCAACAGTTAAAGATTTAAAGGGTTTTAATAAAATATTTCGCGATGTCAAGTATTCACAGAATAATTAGACTCCACAATTAAGTGAATACTTTTTTCATTTGGTGCATATAAAGATTAGGTCTTGCAGATAAATACACCGACATTTTCAACACATTTAAATTAATTCGTGGCATATTTTTCGGTAAAATTTGTTTCCAGGGAATTGAAAATAAAGAGGACTTTTCATAAATATATGACTTTTTTTTAGTGCTATCTGAAACGTAACTTGCATTATATTTTAAAGTTTACTATTTTAAAGTTGACATCCATGATTTCAAATATTAAATAATTTTGACTAAATTTCTATTGCAATTCGTTTTGCCTGTGATATATCGAATACTTATGTCAAGCTAAAAATTTGATCTATTTTTCTCCCCATCCATTGATTGATTCAAAGAAAGGAGATTTACTGCTATTCGCCACCAGATGGTTCCACCTTTGAAGTTCAAATCGTCAAGAAGAAAACGAATAAGTGAGTATTCTTTCAATAATTGTCTAACAAATTATATATCAGTATAAAAATAGCCACGATCTTTTACGGGTAATATTTGGGATACAAATTAGCAAAACATAAAGTCTGCATTTGAGTAAGTCATTCAAACGTTATTACAACGAAAAGGTTTTTTTCTCTTCGGGAATGCTTATAGCAGTTGCATTATTTGCTTTATTAAAACAACTAATTTTTGTTCTTTTTTTTTCAACATTTTTAAATTCACTCTGTTTGCTTGCACCAGGAATAATATCATATACCTGCAATATGACTAATACCATATACGGGCTGTATGACTAATATTATTTACATGCATTATGAATAATATCATTTACGTGCAATGTGACTAATATCATTTACGTGTAACATGACTAATATCATTTAAGAGCAATACGACTAATACCAATTATGTGCAATATGACGAATAACATTTTAGAGCAATATGAAAAATATAATTCACGTGCAATATGACTAATGTAATTTACTAGGAATGTGGCTAATGACATTCATTTGCAAATTACTTATATCAAAAACGTGCAGTGTGACTAATATCATTTTTAGCAATGTGACAAATATCATTACGTGCAAATGGACTAATATCATTTACTGGCAAAGTGACTAATATTATTTACGTGTAATATGACTAATAACATTTACTGACAATGTGACTAATATCATATACATGGAATATGACTTATATCATTCACCGGCAATGTATCTATTACCATTTACATAAAATGTGAAAATGTCATTTACGTGTAATATGACGATATCAGTGGTTCTTAGCCTTGCTAGAGGTACTAAACTACACCAGTTTCATATTCGCATTCATCGAACCCTTCTTAATAGGAAAAAATAAAATATGATTTCTTTCAAATTCAAAACATAGGTATATCTTTTACTGGTGCACAAAATGAACCGTAAATCAACATCACTGTTTTCAAAGAAAAAAAAACTCATTAAAGCATGATTTTCACACAAAAACAAAAACATAATAATGAATATTTACTGCAAATTAGACTTCTGTTGTTGCCTTTCAGGGACCAGTTCAGAAATGCACCTTTACCGTGGCAAGTGCCACTCTCATGTCATTTTCGCAACAAAGGCTGTTCCTTTTCTTCGTTTTTATGTCCAGCATCCGCAAAAAGGATTGCTCGCAAAGATATTTTTTAGTCAACGGTATGAAAATCTCCAGAGCTTTCTTAGCAATAACAATAACAGTGTACGTTACAATTTGTTGACACCAAAGCGTTGAGAGCATTGTTTTTCTGAAGAGTTGCTGTTGAATCTAGCGCTGTTTAATCTCAATGATTTCATCGAGTAATTCATCATTGACATCAGTTATCTCAATAATAAACGTGGATGTTACTCTCGTGTAGGGAAGTATCCGTCGAGAGACTTTGCCAGCTCATCTAAGTGCGTGCCAATTGCTTGCTTCAGCTCCACGGGTACAGAAATGTCTCCGATTCTTGATACATCTTCAATCTTACTTACACAGTGGTCTAGCAAGGGAACGTTTGCGAAGTTAGCGTTCTCTGTTCGTCGTTTCCATAACGGTAGCTTTTTATAAAAAAAAAATCCTTCAGGTTTCTTCCGCGTCGATGATGTTGACTCCACCGCCCTGCATCTGTTGATCGAGATGATCGAGGGCTGCAAAGATATCAGCCATGTACGCTAGAATGAGAATGAACTTAGAATTTTTGAAGCAATTGGCATGACGATGTTGGTGCTCTTGAAAAAACATGGCTAATTCCACACGCACGACAAAAACACGATTCAGCACCTGTCCCCGGGATAACCACCGAAGGTTAGAATGGTACAGAAGTACCTCGAATTCAGAGCCCATTTCTTTACACGGCTCACTGAAGGATGCTGTGCCTCAGAGTACTATTTCGCACAGAGTTCACGCATTCCACTACAATTTGTAATTCCTCTGCCAGTTTTGGAGGCTAGGTTTTTGTTGCCAATGCAATTCTGTGCAGAATACAATGCGTAACTATGATATGTGGTGCATCGGCTTTGACTATGCACCAATAAATCCCAGCATGACTGGAGCTCCATCCGAACAAACTGCAGAAACTATATCCCACGAAAGATTGTTGTCTTTGAAGACGTCATCCACAAATTTGTTCACATCGGCTGCTTTATTTGTTGTTGTAAAGACGCTTACAATTTTTTTTTAAAATCTTCCTTTATCACTCCGTCATTCACAAAGCACACGAATACAGCTAGCTGGCTTAGATTGGAAAGTCTGTAGTCTCATCGAGTAGAAGACATAATTTTGCTAGGCTTGAAATCAAATCTGCAACTACTTGAGACAAGATGTCTTTGCTCATGTCCTCTATTCTGTTGCTGATGATGTCATTTGAAAGAGGAATTTGGGATAACATAACTTCAGCCGCGTTTCCCAGCATGATATTCGCCATCTTCAACAGAGCTGGATTTATGAGTGTTTCACCAATGGTGTGTGGTTTGCCCTGCTTTGCGATCAGATAGCAACTTCGTACGATGCTGTGAGGATCGGTTTGTTGATGGGTACAAAGCCGAGAACAGGCAGAGTAGCCTTTTCATCGAAACTGGCTCTCTTCACTTTGAATTCAGCGAGCGCTGTGTTCTTGTATTTTCCATCTCCGTGCAGCTTAAAGAAGTGTTCTCTTACTTTTGCTGGTGCTAGACTAGAATTGCACAACTTGCCATTGCAAATCATGAAGATAGGACGTTGACTCTCATCACGTTCCGTTATACATGTGAATCCCTATTGTACATTTTAGCCCGGCAACTTTATTTTTTTGCTCGACATAATTAGTATGAAGGGATTAAAATATTAAAAAGAAATCGCGCGAAGTAACATCACGACAGTCACAAGACGACTAATGGGCCACCATATGGAAATAAAAGCTATGTTCGGTCGGAGTACGAAATTGGGTTCGTTCTGCGCATGTTCGTCACAGCACGTGTATGCACAATCAACGCGTGCCTTTATAGGTGGCGTTGACACGATTCGTGATGTATGTGTGTCGTGAGGTCAAGGGTTCCACGTTCTAGAAATATCACGATACCGAAACGTGTTGTCTCGCTCTGGCGCACTTTTTTACTATGTCACGCTTTCGCGATCGCGCGTCGTATTTGATTTGTCCTCGGCCGCGGCCGGTTGTTCTATTGTCCGCACTGCACAAAATCCGATCGCGAACCCCATGAGTCGGGTGTGTGTCTTGACCTCCGCCGAACCCCTGAGACTGACTCACCGAACCCCTGTCATTTACTGGCCACGTGGCTAATATAATTTTGCTGGTGTTGCGACTAATATCATTTACTTGCAACATAGCTAATAATATTTACTGGCAGTGTGACTTGTATCACTTACGTGCAATGTGAACAACATAAAATAAGTGCATTGTGACTAATATAATTTATGTGCAATATCAATAAAATCATTTGCTGACAATGTGACTACTGTCATTTACGTGCAATGGGAAAAATGTCATATCGGACAATATGACTAATTTAATTTACATGCAATGTGAATAATATCATTTCCTGGCATTGCTACAAATATCATTTACTGGCATTTTTACAAATATCATTTACTGGCATCGCTACAAATATCATTTACGCGAAATGTGAGTAATTACATTTACTAGTAATGTTACTAATATCATTAACGTGCAATATGACTAATAATATTAACGTGCAAAATGACTAACATCATTTACGTGCTTTATGTCTTATATCATGTATATGCAATGTGACTATTAAAATTTACAGGCAATTTGATTAATATCATTTAGGTTAAATGTGACTGATGTATTGTAAGTGCAATTTCACTAATATCATTTAGGTTCAATACGACAAACATAAATTTACGTGCAATGTGATTATATAATTTACGTGCAATGTGACTAATATCATTTACTGGCAGTGTGACTAATATTATTTACGTGTTATGTTATTAAAGTCATTTAGTTGCAATAGTACTAATATCATTTACGTGCAAAGTGACTTATATAATTTTCTTGCAATATGCCTAAAAAAATTTAGGTTTAAAATGACTAATATTTTTTACTTGCAATTTGACTAATATTATTTAAGTGCAATATGACTAATATCATTTACGTGAAATTTAACTAATACAATTTACTTGCAAAATGACAAACATCAATTATTTGCAATGTGACTAATAACATTTACTGGCAATGTAACTTATATAATTTACGTGCAATGTGATTAATATCATTTATGGGAAATATGACTTATACCATTTACTATCAAAGTGACTAATATCATTTACTGGAATAGCGATTAATACCATGTGCGATAAATGTGACTAATATCATTCACGGGTAATTTAACTAACATCTTTAATGTGCAATATGACTAATATCACGTACATACTATGTGACTAATATCATTTACAGGCAAAGAGAATAATATTTTTTACGTGCTAGATACTTATATCATTTACTGTAAGTATGACTAATACCATTTACGTGCAAAATTGCTAATATAATGTACTTAAAATATGACAAATCTCATTTAGGTGCAATGTGACTTATATCATTTCAGAACAATGTGACTAATATCATTTACGTGCAATGTGACTTATATGATTTCAGAACAATGTGATTAATATCATTTACGTGCAATGTGACTTATATCATTTCAGAACAATGTGACTAATATCATTTACGTGCAATGTGACTAATATCATTTCAGAACAATGTGACTAATATCATTTACGTGCAATGTGACTAATATCATTTCAGAACAATGTGACTAATATCATTTACGTGCAATGTGACTTATATCATTTCAGAACAATGTGACTAATATCATTTACGTGCAATGTGACTAATATCATTTCAGAACAATGTGACTAATATCATTTCAGAACAATGTGATTAATATCATTTACGTGCAATGTGACTTATATCATTTCAGAACAATGTGACTAATATCATTTACGTGCAATGTGACTAATATCATTTCAGAACAATGTGACTAATATCATTTACGTGCAATGTGACTTATATCATTTCAGAACAATGTGACTAATATCATTTACGTGCAATGTGACTAATATCATTTCAGAACAATGTGACTAATATCATTTCAGAACAATGTGACTAATATCATTTACGTGCAATGTGACTTATATCATTTCAGAACAATGTTACTAATATCATTTACGTGCAATGTGACTAATATCATTTCAGAACAATGTGACTAATATCATTTCAGAACAATGTGACTAATATCATTTACGTGCAATGTGACTTATATCATTTCAGAACAATGTGACTAATATCATTTACGTGCAATGTGACTAATATCATTTCAGAACAATGTGACTAATATCATTTCAGAACAATGTGACTAATATCATTTACGTGCAATGTGACTTATATCATTTCAGAACAATGTGACTAATATCATTTCAGAACAATGTGACTAATATCATTTACGTGCAATGTGACTTATATCATTTCAGAACAATGTGACTAATATCATTTATGTGCCAAGTGATTAATATTATTTACGCGCGATATATCTAATATCATGTAAAGGCTATGTGACTAATAAAATGTACTTGCTATGCACTAATATCATTTAAATGCGAAGTGTCTTATATCATTTACATGCAAAATTGCTAATATAATGTACTTAAAATATGAAAAATCTCATTTAGGTATAATGTGACTAACATCATTTACATGCAATATGACTTCTTTCATTTAAATGCAACGTGACTTATATCATTTACGTACAACATGACTAGTATCATTTACTGGCAATGTAATATCATGTACGTGTCATGTGACTAATATCATTTATGTGTCTTATGACTGATATGTTTTACAAAAAATATTGATTGGAATACGTTTTTATTCAAACTTAAAACTTTCCGTCAACAAAATTTTTTTTAGGCGTACATGCGTGAATTAATTGTCTGATATCCAGTGTTCATGTTAGATGTAGTACTATTTGGAGCTTGGAAATGTTATCTTCCTTTATTTGCTTGAATGAAAACAAAAGGCTTTAACAATTAATCCGGGTTGACAAATGGGTGAAGGGGGGGGGACTCGGTCCGAGGGACAAAATTATTGGGGGGGGGGGAGGGGGAAAAGATAGTCATTTAATTGGACCTTTATAGTGAGTTAAAACGGTAGAACCCGAAACACTTCAAAATAAAATAATTTTAAACTGTTAACATGACGTCATATGGTCGAAAAAAGTCGGTGGCTAATAATATTATAGTTTATGGAATTATTCGAAAAAAAAACAGTCGTAACATAACATACAATTGTGTGCATTTGTCTTTATGTTATGTTAAAAATTATGTTGAATTTCATTTTAGAACCAAGAAATATATTTTGCTCCCACCTGAGACTTTGAAAAGAAAGGAGAAATTCAAGGAGCTCATTCAAGCAGCTAAAGATAAAAATTACACTGTGTCTGTGCAACGTGTGTATTTGACTGTGTCCAAACATCAGCTCTACAGCAAGTTAGATGACGTGAAAAGTCTTAGAGAATTGCTCAAAACTTTATTTATGGTACACACTTATTAAAAAAACTAAATTTTAAAAAAAATACGCATTTCAAATAAGAAACGAGTTTACCTCATATCTTTCTAAATTAAAAAAAAATATTGATATCTTACTGTAATATTCCATTACTAGCAGAGGCATTGCCTTCTGTGATATTTACGCTGGTTTTCTCTAAAGATACGTTTTGTGATTTCAATCTAGTATGTCGAATTTTCTTTTTCTTTCGCCATAACCATGGTTGCTTTTGAAAAAAAAAATATTGTTCACTTTGGTCGAGGACTGATCATTTAATAAGAATAAGTTTCATAATTTTCAGACGTCAAGCTATCCTTCACACCGCGCACAGGAAAGGCTGCAGCCCAAAAATCATGATTTTTTTTTCTTCAAAATGAATCAAGCCCATTGAAGGAAAAGAACGAAAGTGGATCTCCTTATTCATGCATTTCTCATATACCGAAATGCGTTTCTTCCAGCCTGCGCATTCTCTGGAACACATCTCTAAAACATAATGCACAAATTCTACATAATTACCGATATTTCACTATTTATGAAAACACATTGTTATGGCTAAAGCAGTTTTTGTACATTTTTTTATATTTGCATTATGATTATGTAAAAGAGCAATTTTTATTAAGTCTGTGCTATTTTCTTACCCCAAAAAACTTTGTAATGGTACCAGGCTGCAGGTTAAAGTCTTTTAAAGAAATGTAAATGAAGTAACCATGTGCAGAATGTGGTGCAAGGGAAACAATCTTAATGCTCCAAATTTCTATGATTTTCTCCGACTACCTCTTTCAAATTAAGCGACCGAAGTTTCCTGTCAGAGTCTCCTCTGCCATGATAGTAGAACAAGAGCCATCATCGGCAGACAGGACAAATGGAGAAACATTCTCTTGTCAGCTGAGGAAGGCTCTTAGCCGAAAATTTCTTCCTTTGTTGTCTTGTCTTTATATTTAAAGCCTCGACATACCTTGTTCCACTATATTCTTAACACAAGTTGAAGACAATCGTTAACTTATTATCTTTTGCCATGCCAATGAAAAAGCTTAAGGGTAGACTTATTAGAGTTAGAATGGATTAAATGAGATCCTGAGTGAAGCGTCATTTTTGACAAACATTAGACCCTATATTGGATGCCTTTAGTGGAAACCCTTCTGAGAACAAAAGAAGCAAGGAGGAGACATTATGCCCACTTTTAAGGTTAGAGATCAAGTTAATCACAGAATGGAAATAGTTTATTCACAAAACTCTTCATTTTTACCAATATATTTTGTTGAGGAAATGATGAAATATAGTCAGAATTTCGTTTTAAATTATTTCATTTGTTTTAAGTCCCGATAACTCAAATTGAAGATGGCGTCGTTGGGTCATCGAGCGGGAGCTCTTAAACCCCCCCCCCCCAGCACACCCCCACACGCGATGACGCTGGATCTTCCTATCGCTACACGGTGCGGAAGAGTAAGAATTTCGTTTTAAATTATTTCATTTGTTTTAAGTCCCGATAACTCAAATTGAAGATGGCGTCGTTGGGTCATCGAGCGGGAGCTCTTAAACCCCCCCCCCCCCAGCACACCCCCACACGCGATGACGCTGGATCTTCCTATCGCTACACGGTGCGGAAGAGTGCCAGGACCTACCCTAAAGCTTAGGGAATGTACGGTCGACCATACACACTCTTCAGAATGTGGACAGTACACTCTCCGTGGATTTAGAAAGGCTTTACTTCCTCTACAGAGGAAGGGTTTTTCGTTACCCTCCCTCACCGCCCAGGGAGTTGTTCGGTCTAGACGTAGCGGTTCGGGACAAAACGGTCGCCTAGGAACGGCTTTCTAAGCGCCGCGCACTTTTAACCGTTGGTCAGGTTATTATTGCCCCCCAAGCCTCATATCCATTATCGGCGACAAGTAGTCATGTTAGTGCGCTTCTTCCGTTGCATTGGAAGTCATGCGTGTGGCTGGGATCTTTTAGCTTCAGGAGGAAACCTCCCTACTCATCTTTTACGCCGCGCAGAGGCAAGATCCCATGTAACAACGCCGCGTCACCTCGGTGGTGTGGGTCACATGCTTAGAGGCGTTCGGTCAGGTCATTCCCGAAGTTTAAGTCCCGATAGGTCTGTCAATTATACAAATTCTGCCAATTCCAAATGCATACTTAAAATATGTATGACAGCGATGGGGAGAACAGATGTTTAATTCTTGAGATTCATCATGGCAGACAGCCTGCGACTTGACATTGGTGCAATTTCAAACAACAAACAACCGAGGTAACTTTGGTACATTGGGCGGGAGATCGAAAAGCGAGACGTGATCCTGTAAAGCAGGGCAACGAAGTTGATGCGGTTCAGCAAATGGCATTGTGCTTACGGTCTTCTACAGTATTCTCTTATATTGTGGCGTGACTGCGTCATTATTCCAATTTCAAAGCCGTTCGTAAGAAAAATTCTACTTAAGAATTCTACTCTTTATTAAATCATGGAAAGACCAAACCATTACAACTCCATCCAACTCTATTTTTAATTAACCCTAACATTGCAGCGGAGCACGGGTATTCAGCTAGTTCATGACATTATACAAACACGTTTGATGTGTTATTGGTTGGACATAGTGTTCTGCATCTTTTAACAAACAAAAAAATTCTCCCACACAGAAATCGAATCGTAACAGAAATCGAATCAAAGCTTCAAGAGCAAACTCAGGAACAAAAAAAAATCGAAAATCATCTTAATTTTCAAATACTCGAATGACCGTGCATCGTGTTTAAAATGTGTAACTGTAACAGCTATCATAATTAATATATGAAAAAAACTGGTCTAGTTACTTTTTGCATGCATATAATGGATAGTGGTAAGACCTATAACGACAGGCCTATCAGAGTGTTTCATTAGGCCGAACCATCCAACGCTTATTGCATAGATCTTATTGGAACTACATAAACGACATCTTCTCAGAGGAAGACACCCCAACCAAGGGTGTCAAGAACAAGCACTTCTGGAGCTATGTGAAGCACCAAAAGTCCTCAAAAGCTAGAGTTTCCCCCCTGAGGTGGGATGGCCATTTGACATCTGACTCAAAAACACAGGCTGACATACTCAATCAGCAGTTGCAGTCGGATTTTGATGACGGTAGAGAGTTCCTTTTGAAGACCAAAATGATGAACAGAGCCTACCCTGCTATGGAAGATGTACAGATACCAGAGCAGGGTGTGCTTGCCCTCATCAAAACCATTAACCCTTACAAAGCATGTGGTCCTGACAACATCAAACCACGAGTGTTCAAAGAATTAGACAATGAAATCGCTCCTTCACTGACAATCCTCTTCCAATCGTCGCTATGCACAGGAAATGTTCCCGCAGGCCTTCAACAGTGCACTCAAAACACATCTCTTTAAACTATACTACCTTGACTGATTCCCCTTCTCTGACCGATAAACGATCCTGAAGTCCACGGTGTGCCATGTAAGAGTTCTGGGGTGGGTGAATATACATTGGTTTTTGTTGTTTTGTTTACACGCTGTTTTTTATTTAATAATTGTATTTTTATTTTATTTTCATGATTATGTCTCTTTTGCTAGTATTTTTATGTACAACGTGGGACACCGTGCTATATAAAAATGCTAATTATTTTTATTATGTTACTTCAATCTACAAGAAAAAGGAGCATTACACCCTACCAACTATCGTCCGATATCCCTCATTGGCGTGGTCTGCAAACTGTTGGAGCACATAATCATCGTTAACACAGTCATGAAGCATCTTGAAAGCCAAAATATACTCAATGACTGTCAGCATGGCTTCCGAGTCAATAGATCGTGTAAGACCCAGCTCTTTGAATTTGTAGAATACTTGATGACCAATCTGGAGAACCACAGACGTGCTAGTGATGGACTTCTCAAAGGCATTTGACTGTGTCAATCATACTTTACGTCTACACAAACTCCAGAGATATGGTATTGAAAACACCACAAAAACATGTATCTCTATCTTCCTCAGAAAACGATGCCAGGAAGTAGTGGTAGACAATACAAGCTCCTCCTTTATCGATGTGAAGTCAGTCAGGGATCAGTGCTAGGCCCCGGTTTGTTCCTAGCATAAATTGCAAAGCACAATCTGGCCTTTTGTGGCCACAACAAGATGTATCTTTCCTGAAACTTTCTTGAAATGGTTGAAATGCCATCTAAATATGACCCAGTTCTAAAGGAGCACCAAAATGAGACTTAAGAGGAGTACATTTACAGAAAAAGCACGCGCATCTTACCTTTCACAAAAAAACAAAAACAATTGGGGAATTATGTTCGAAAGTACACCTGATATATCTCACACTGACCACACAGATTTATAAAGTGATCAGATACATGAAAATCTGGGAAAGTTGAAGTGTGAGAATTTTTTCTTGGATTTGTCCTGTTAAGAGGGACAAAAGCTGTTGACCTTATTTCTGACATTTTTACAAATCTAAAATATGATAAACTAGACATAATGATGTTCATCGATAAAGGTTACGATAATGCTCCCACAATGTTTTCAAAACTAAGGCTCATCAAAAAGTAATGAAGATCCACGATGGGACAGTAAAGGTTTACTGATCTGCCTCTGCTATCAATTGAAATTGATACGATGAAGAACAATGATTTTGATCAAGTGATTGAATGGTCTGCAGCTTTGACGGCCAGGAAAGAAAATTTTAAATAAAGTAAATTTGACGTAACAATGACAATACATTGGAGTTGTTACAGTTTATAAAAACATTGACCTCATGACATCCAATTTATGTTTTTTTTGTTCTTGTCATTGTTATACTGTGGACTTATTTTAACAAAAAGAAATCCATCATGGAAGGGCTGGGTGGTAAACCATGAGTTTACCACACCAGGTGACACCAACCCTAGCTACGCCAATGGCCATCATAAGAGACGTAGTGTAGATCAGGAATTTTTAGAATATTATTCCGAAGTGAAGGGAGATGATGTTATGCAATATTATTGGAATTGTGATTGATGTGATGTGATCGAAGTCCTCAAAAAATTCCTATGACATATGTATTTATTTATATGGATATTGTGAAAAGTGAGATTAAAATAGTCAATTTATCTTTGTACTGGGATGACTCCACTGTTATTTATTACTTAATATAACAGTGAAAGTAATGTCTAAAAAATGTATTAATTTAAACTCATTTATTTTCTTTTACGTATCATATTTATAATCAGCGGCTTCCGCTTGTATATGACATATTAATACAGTATAATCGAATCCGAATCAGTGGCTTATGTATTTAATGTGGATGGAAAATGAAATACAGCACAAAAGAATGCCTAACATTGGAATGGTTATGGAACTGCTGGTATAATCAGTGCCAGTGGCTTATTTTTGCAAAGTTTAAAGAGCATGAAATACAACAAGAATCAGTGAATCAATTATGCAATTGTTATAGATCATAACTTCTGATATAAACATTTGATTATATTGATAGAAAAGTTCAATTGGGTTAACCGTTGCAATTCGCCATTACTGAAAGTGATAAATGGGGAGTTGTAGAGCTATTTTAGCACACAAATTTATGTTTGCTAACGACGTTTAGTCATTAATCAATGGATATATGATTTTTTTTTAAATTTATAACAACAATTTTCTTATACATAAATTTTATTTCGCAGAAGAGTAAACACACTGACTCAACAGAAAGCTTAACTAGCAAGATTGAAGCCAAGGTATTTTTCTACACTTCGATAACCGTTGCAATTCGCCATTACTGAAAGTGATAAATGGGGAGTTGTAGAGCTATTTTAGCACACAAATTTATGTTTGCTAACGACGTTTAGTTATTAATCAATGGATATATGATTTTAAAAAAATTTATAACAACAATATTTTTATACATAAATTTTATTTCGCAGAAGAGTAAACACACTGACTCAACAGAAAGCTTAACTAGCAAGATTGAAGCCAAGGTATTTTTCTACACTTCGATAATCCTTTCCCCTTACATCATACATGAAACGGTTATTTATGTTATTTTATTCCAATTCATTTATATTTGTATATTTATTTTTAATAATTTTATGAGCCTTATCAAAAAGCTTTACACCACAGATATCAGAATGCCCCGACCGAGTGAAACAGTGCGTGAAAAACTTTGTGACCATGGCCATCCTGACGCTGCCAAGCCTTCTCTTCCTCTGCACCATGATAACGGATCGGTTCTGGTATCAAAAACTGATCGAAGCTTACATCGAGAGGGGACTGCAGGGTCCGTTTTATTTCCAATGGTCAAAGATCATAACGGTTCAGAGAGCCCTCGTCGTGTGCTTGATTGTTTGGTTTTCATTCGGGTTTGTGCTGTACACTGTATTTGGTGACAGGATGAGACGCGCCATCAAGAATTTTATGCGTAAAATAAAAACATTATATAATCATGATGAAACAAAGAGTGATGACACACAATCAAGAAATCCAGATGAAACAATAGCAACCGTACCTCATCAAATTGCATCAAGCAATAAAGATAAAAATAAAAACAAGTGTTTTGGAGCAAAATTATGCAATCGAGTAAAACCAGAGGGTGATGAAAAGAGCCTGTGGCTCATTCTAACACTTTTCTTTTGCATTCCCTTTTTTCTATTTCTTTTCCTTGGCGTGCATTTTATACTCAACCTTTTGGTGATGATGATCTTCACGGTCATCGTGCAGTCTGACATCTTTTCTATATTTGTCCAAGCGATCCTGACATTTCTGATCTATGTAGAAGTTTATTACAAAGATTATCACAAGCGCCACAATGCGCTGAAGACGGTTCTCCTGAATTTATTGAAGGATGAAGGCGTGTACACCAGTAAAAGTAACGGAGTCTCGAAAATAACGGATAATTTAATGAAAACCAAATTCGCGAACCGTAAGATTGGTAAGTTTAGTAGCACATAACTTTAAACATTTATTTTATTTATTACGAGATATTTTGTGTTATGTTGTTGTTCTGGTTGCATTGGGTTGTCGTTGGGTTGCTGGTTTAAATATAGTTTCATAAGTTTAAATAAAAAATTCAACTGTAAGAAAATGACAGCAGGATTTTGCTATTACATTTAAGAGGAAGAAAGACTTTGGATGATTTCCGTTTTTATTTATTAATTTATATTGGTCACACGTTTATTTCCATGAGGAAAAACACAACATAATCCCAATTATAGCTATACTCCGAATATAAAAATTAATGAATAAATCCAATAAAAAATAAAATGCAAGTGTTTTAAGTATGGCAAAATCTACTCTACAAATATTTTTGAGCTCTTCAAGAAAATTTTTGTTTTAATATTAACATAATGTATAGGGGCTAAGACAAACATCTTTAAAAATTTATAAATATAATCATTTGCAAAATTAAACCTTTTTATGAAATTAGCCATTTAAGTTCGTACCTATTTTTCCAATCCATCTATTAAATTTATTTTCTTTTCTAGAAAAAGACACGCCTCCAGCAAAGGTTGCTACAAAAAACACAACGATTAGCGTCCAGGACGGAAACCTGATCCTCGAACTAAATGCTCCAGTACTGTTTTTAAATACCTATGATGTTCGTTCTATTTCGCATACGTTCCTGTTCCACTGCTGTCAAATGGACTGTGAAGGGGCACCGAAAAAGCTTAATATTACCAAAGTAAGTGTTCTGATTATTAAATGAAATGATTAAAACAGAGTGTGCACACTTCTATTGCTGCCCACAGATACTACTTACCAGCTAAGTGCTATTTCTTATTTTTATTTTTATACCGTTTTTTCTGTTGTTTTGTTCGCTGACGAAGGCTTTCTGCCGACAAGTTCACTGTTTTGTTGCGTTTATTTTTTCAGGTTTAACCCTTCTCTGTTTTAATCATTTTATTTTGTACTAACCTGATTGCAGTCTCTCCCCTTATTACCCCTTTTCAGATTATTGCAATGTTTATTAATATGCTGCAATATATATATATATATATAATCTTATTAAATCTTTATTTTCAGTCAACAATTATTTACTGCTTATCAAGCAAATCTTCTAACTATATAAAAAAAATCTGTTTTAAATACATTTTTACAAACGAAAAAAATGTGTTTATTTTCACTAAAATCTTCAAATGCTTTTCTTTTTCATGACCTCCCTGTAACGTCATGTGAAATAAAACAACAATCATATCGTGTAACGCGGTCTAAAAGATGTAATGTGTCCTATTTACAGATATCTCTACTGCTGACAGCGACTGTCACGTTTATTGCCCTGGTGTTTTTGATTGTCAAGGCGTTTGGTGACATTTACTACATCTCCCCTTCAAACAGCTTCATCTTTTCCTTTGTCACGTCCCTCGCCCCTCTTGTCCTCAAATACTTCAATAGTAACTTGTCGTCGGAGAAAATGGTACAAGAGAATGACCGCAGGTGAGTTTATTCGCCGAGTGCTATGTATGCGTTCGTTAACATTTTCTATCTCCCGTTAACGATTCCATTAGTGTCGAGTATGAGCGTTCATTAGGAATTGTTGGGACTCAATATTATGTTCATTAGTTGTTGAACGCTTTTCCCGCGCTCGACTATTATAGTTAGTGAACGCTCTTCCCGCCATTGTATTTATGACGTATGTCTATGCAGTGTTGTGACGTATGTTTGAGTCGTGCTGGCAGTCTTGAGTGGAACCTTGGAGTGATAGGATGTTTATTATATTTACTTAGATATTAAAGTTATAGTTATTATGAAAAGGAGTTGAGTTTGTTAATTGATAGTTAGAATAGTACGACGCTTCAACGTANATATTATTATACATTATCTCTCTCTCATATATACATATATATATATATATATATATATATATATATATATATATATATATATATATATATAGAGAGAGAGAGAGAGAGAGAGAGAGAGAGAGAAATGCACAGAGCAATATATTTTTTATAAAAATGGTTATGAATTTCATTTAAAAGGTTCCAGAAAGAAATACGGAAAAAAATCAAAACGTTCAGTGAAAAGCTAACCATAGCTGACGTGCCTGAAATGTCATTTCTGAAAGGAAATGAGACAGGCAGCGGAGGGGACAAAGACCGCAACACAGGTCAAGAGGCATGTGTGAGCAGGACTGTGCCGTTGATACAAGGAGGTGGGGGCGCTAACAAGGAAACTCAACCAAAAGAATTGGCCACACCAAAATTGGATCAGCCAGATAATGCTGAATCCCATGTAGGTGTAGGCATCTCGGAGATCCAGTTATATCAAGCAGAAGAGGAGGTCAAAACTAGTAACGTTCAAGGCAAAACTATTAAAGATACAATTTCCTCGAATCCCGGAAATGATGTAAAGATAAACCTAGATGACCCGTGAGTTTATTTTATTTTTTATTCCACAGAGAATGCTTTAAAAGGGCCTGAACTTTCATCACCCTAATGGAAATTGTTTTAAATGCAATTAATTTTTATATCTTTTCTCGTCATTTCGCTCTACCTTTTAGTTTTTTTCTTTTAAAATGTATTTCTTGACAACAATATTCAAATATAAAAAAGTAGTCAACCCGCGGTGTAGCATACACCGCAGAATTGCTCATAGATGAAAGACACAGTTGTCCAAACGGGGTGGGTTTAAGGATATAACTGTGATATAGCCCACCAAAGATTTGCGGCAGCAATGCGTGAACTTCCCATCTAGTTAAGTTACTTGACAAAACATGAACTCAAGTAACGCACATTTAAGAATCCTAATTTTTTTTACTACCCTCTTTCCCCATGATACGTCGTAGCACATTTTTTATTTCACGCCCATGGACTACATTAATAGTCTCATGTCCCAACCACTTTTAAACCGAATATTTTTGACACAATACTTTAATTGAGACGTCTTCATTTCCGAAAAGAAAATATTACGCACCAAACGCAATTGTGTTAATAAAAATAGATACATATCATTTAGTGTAGTTATCGGGAATTATATTTTGCGCGCTATTGAACTCATTATCGAACTCATTATCTAAAAATAGCCTGCTTGACGTTAGACCCATCTTGTTTGACCTTTATTGTCGAATTAAATATATATATATATATAGATCGTTTAAATTAATTTACATAGAAAATGCTTTTAACTTTAAAAAAAAAGGTTTTGTAAGCAGTGATATGATTATTTTTTTCAAAGTTTAAACGATTTTTCTGTACATTATGTCTTTATAGGAGTTTTAAAACATTCTCAAGTGTCGTAAAACATTGATTCGCTATGATTCGAATTTAACCTTCAACAAATCACGTCATAAAAGTATACAAAGAATCAATAAATGTAATTCTATAGGTATGAATTAAAGCATGTTGTGATGGTTGAGTTCCATAGCGCGCAAATTTGAATTCCCGATAACTTCGCGGCGGCGTCGGCACTAATTGGGATTCTTATAAAGTGCGTTTGAATCCATGTTATATCAATTATCTTTAAGAGATGGGAAGTTCGTGTATGGACGGACTACATCTAGTATATGACATAAAACACTTTGTAAATTCAGTTATCCCCACAGGTAACGTTACACAGATATTACATTTGTAAAAAAAAATATCCTGTGGATTAAACACAGTTACATATTATCTAGCTAATATACCCACCGTGGCCCGTGTTTCCAAATTCCAATAGGGTCTCGATCTGGTTGGGATCTATTTCCCGATTCCAAAATGATCCCGATCTCGATGGGATCCCGATTCCAAGTGGGATCCAATATCCGTATTCGATCCCGATCATTTGAGTTAATGTCAGGATCGATTCTTTTCACGTTGTCAAGCCAGACTTCTTTTGCCGATGACGGGAAATAAATTAATGACATTATGATTGGTATGGCCTTTAAAAAAAACAAAACAAAAAAAAAACCAAGATATTTAATGAAAATTAAAGACGTGTGTGAATAAATTATTTTTATATTAAGCTAATAAATATAAAAAATTTACGCTGTGGACCTCGTTATTTACTGTGACGTTAGGCGATAAAGAAATTTGAAGATTTTAAAAAAAAAAAGATTTCTTTCTTTTTTTTTAAAAAATAGATGATTCCATGTCATCCTTTGTAGAGGATAAAAAGTCGGGTTTCTGTGGTTTGCCGTCATGGAAAAAGGGGGTGGGTGGGGAGAAAGAAAAAAAGTTAGTTGGGGGACTATTTACGCCACTGACTAATGACAAAAAAATATATTGCCAACAAAAGGGAAAAAAAATGCTGACGCACAGTTGATTGGCACTAGAGATCGACCGAATTTCGGCTTCGGTTTCGGCGCCGAAAGTGGCCATTTTATCACTTTCGGCCAAGTTTCGGTTTCGGCCGAAATCAGGAAATCACTTTCGGTCGGTCTCTAATTGGCACGTTGTCCTGTCTTCAATGAGATGTAAACACCGCAGCCGTCTTAAAGTGATGATGATCCAAATGTCGTCTTGGTGGTGTCCTGCTCTTTCGTACACACGATGCAAACAGTTTATCCTTATTTATCTCCGGTATGATCGAGGCGAAAAGTTGTGATGGATAGGGTGTTTTAGTCGTAGCGATACTAAACATATATATATATCAAAACTTAACAGTCAATACGTTTTAAAGTGCAATATTTTAGTAGTTTTAAAGAGAAAATAATAAAAGCCGCTTAACGGATGAAGATAATTAGTAAGGGTCATAACAACATTGGAAGTGATGCTATACAATAATAATGGTGGGGGAAAAAAAAAGGGGGGGGGAGAATTAAAAGAGTTGATTAATTTTTTAAAAAAAAATTGGTTATATAGTATCAACATTGTACTAAACTAATTCAAATATTTGTAACTTTTTTTTATTTTGCTATATCTTTTAGCGATTGCACCAACATTTGAGACCGTTCGGGCGGAAGATTATATTGGTAACAAAATGATGACACCTAACGAATCTTACCAACCAACTAGCAAAAATTGACATCAACCATGCAGAAAGAACACTTTAAAATACAAGAATTAGTTTTATTTATTTATTTGTTATTTGTTTTGGGGGAGGGGTGGAATTTGTAAAATAGATCATTGTTACAATTAAACAATGAAATATAACTAGTTATTTTTTGAACATAATTGTATGTGTTTGTGTGCTGTGAGTTGTATAAATAATTTCAAATGCACATTAGATGTGTTTTGTAGGAATGGGTAATTTAAAGACATATATCTATGTAAAAATGAGTTTAACTCTTGTGAACGTTTATCATTTGAATTATAGTTTCTATGATTTAATTTTTGCTAATGTAATGCGTTGACTTTTAATGATTAGTAATATATATGTTTAATTACCACCTCCAATATTGGAAGTATTAAAAACACTCTACGCTTGAGACAAGTTGTTTATTATTATTTTTTAAATAAAGTATCTAAATGTATCTACATTTGGGTCCATTAAATGTTCTTCTTCTTCCTCTATATCTTAAGGGCCCACGATCAATGCATTGATCATTTTGGATCCTATGCACGTAGAGGGAATTTGCAATGTTTCTGTATTTGGTGTTCATGTGGATATTACACTGATTGTCAGTGCCATTAGTAAGGGTATCATGCACTGGGGGTTGGAAGGCCTGAGTCTAAAGACGCAAATGTGTCTAGTGTTGTCGCCCCATTTGTTCCTTTTGAAAGCTTGTTCCAGTTCCTGATTGTTATGGGAAGGAATGAGAAGTTCCTATACTATCTTCTTGCTGGTATAAGCCGGAATTGCCTGTCATGGCCTCGTCGCTGTCTATGGGGGAGAGGAACGACTTCCTGTTTAATACTGGAACAGTGGACCAGCCCATTATTTATTTTATTCATATTTCATCTTTGCTATCTCATCATTATAAAAAAATACGCGAGAGAACTGCGAGAAGGTTAAATCAATAAGAGATATACAAATGGTTGAAGAACCATTAAATCAACACAAAAAAAGCAAACCTTTCAGTCAAAAAGCTTTCAACATAAAAGAAGCACCCAAAATAATACTTTTAACGTGTTCAAAGTTGTGTAGTTGAATATGTCTACCATTTTTTGTCATTTATATTTATGTATATATAAGCACATTTATATATATATATATATATATAAATAAATAAATATATATAAATATATATAATAATAATAATAATAAAGTTCATTTCAAAAACATGCATCATCCCCAAAAGGCTCGAAGCGCGGTACAAAGTCAACAAAAAAGAAATCTATAATTTACCACATTTAAAACAAACGCAGCACTACAAAAACTAAGTACAAGCATACAATGGCAAAGTCTTTCTAGCCATTTCAACCATAAGCAACACATCCATTATGCATTAACTGGAAAATAAGGTTGACAATCATCCCAGAAGGTGTTTGTGAAATAGATGTGTCTTTAAATCAGTTTTAAAGGACTCCAGTGTCTGGTTGTTTCTGAGATCGACAGGAAGGGCGTTCCAAATTGTTGGACCAGCAAATGCGAAAGTGCGCTTTCCGTAAGTCTCAAGGCAAACACGTGGTGTCGAGAGTTTGCCACTGTCGGATGAGCGGAGCTCTCTAGTTGGTACCTAAGGCGTCAGCTGCTCTTTCAGATAGGACGGTGCCAGGTCATGTAAGCAGCGGTAGCACAAAGTTGTGATTTTGTACTCTATGCGAGCACGCACCGGCAGCCAATGCAACTCTCTCAGAAGTGTTTTTGCATGGTCGAATTTGCGTTTGCGGAAAACAATGCGAGCCGCATTATTCTGTGCTATTTGAATTTTATCAAGGAGAGTAGCTGGAAGACCCACCATGAGAGCATTGCAATAGTCCTTGCGTGATAGCACAAATGCAGACATCAGCCTCTTTGTTGCATCAATTGTTAGGAAGGGCCTTATGTGACTAATCCTGCGGAGCTCCAGAGAAATCGCCTTGTATAGCATGTTAATATGACTTTCAAAAGTTAGTCTTCTATCTAGGTAGACACCCAGGTACCGCACTGTTTGAGCTAACTCAATACGCACACCTGAGAGAGTAATGGATGTCGTGTTATTTGCAGATTTCTGCTTCTGAGCGGTCGCAATGGGGAGCAGCTCAGTCTTATCATCATTTAATTTGAGCTTGTTAATGGTCATCCAGTGCTTTACCGACTCCATTGTCTTCTGTGTAATACTGAGCAGCTGAGGGAACTGAGAAGTGATCACGGATTGATGAAGTTGTGTATCGTCCGCGAACATGTGATACAACATGTCAAACTGCCTGATCTCTGCACCCAGGGGCTGAATGTACATCGTGAAAAGCATCGGGCCTAGGACCGAGCCCTGGGGTACTCCGAATTCGATATTAGATTTCTTCGAAGTCAAGCCGTTTGAAATAACCGACTGCACCCGATTAGTCAGATACGATCGGAACCAACACAGGACGGTATCAGTGAGACCGAACGTTTGTTGCAGACGCTGGAGCAGTATGCCGTGGTCGAGCGTATCGAAAGCTGCCGATAAATCGAGTAAAGACAAAATCGATACCCGGCCCTCATCACAAGACGACAGAAGGTCGTTTACGACGCGCAACAGGGCTGTCTCAGTAGAGTGATGCGCCCTGTATGCTGACTGGAATGGTTCAAACAAGTCAAACTGAGTGAGGTGATCCAGGAGTTGGCGGAGAACGACTTTTTCTAAGATTTTAGAAATAAAGGGTAGATTTGAGATGGGGTGATAATTTTCCATCACATTTGGGTCAAGATTTGATTTCTTTAATAGTGGAGTGACGATCGCTTCTTTAAAAGATGATGGAACAACACCAGTAGCTAAGGACTGATTTATGATATAAGTGATGATAGGGACTATTTCATCCAGACAAGAGGGTAAAGCGAACATGAATTTCTTGGGGTATCAGCGAGGATTTTCCTCACATTCGATTCACTGACCTCAACAAATGCACCCATAGAAGAGCCGTTGAAGAGTGAGAATTCTGGAGCAGTATCGATGCAACTGTCAAGTTTCGCACTGATCCTCTTAACTTCTGTAATAAAGTAGTAATTTAGAGCGTCTGGCAGCTCTTCTATAGCAATGTTATTTGGCAGAGATGTAGCTTTGTTTTTACCGGTCAGCTGACCCACAATGCGAAATAAGTCCTTGCTTGAGCCGCTGTCTGTAATCTGATGACTAACATACTCAGTCCTAGCTGCAAGGACCAACCTCTTGGTTCGTTCCCTGTGGTCAACAAAGATTTGTCGGTGCACAGTCAAGCCCGACTTCCGCCATTGGCGTTCTGCACGTCATTGCTTCTGCTTACATACACATAGTTTAGTTATAATCAAGCATATTTGATATGATATTTATGCCCGCTATAGAGCTAAGACTAAAACAAGAAAGGTCTTGCTGCGGGAGTTCTTGTTTGCGGACGATGCCGCTTTGGTATCTTACACAGTAGACAGCCTGCAGAGCCTCGTATCCAGCCTATCCACTGCCTGCAAAGAGTTTGGCCTGACAATTGGCCTAAAGAAAACTAACATTATGGCACAGGTCGCTGACTCCCTCCCCACTATCGCCATCGACGACTACGACTTGGATACTGTTGACAGATTCACATATCTGGGATCCAACATATCGAGCACCCTCTCAATGGAGGATGAGATAAGTGGAAGGATAGGGAAGGCCGCAACTGTTATGGCCAGACTGAAGAAAAGAGTCTGATCAAACGCCAAACTCACAACAAGAACTAAGCTGCAGGTGTACCAGGCATGCGTACTGAGCACGATCCTGTATGCATGCGAGTCGTGGACCACATACTCTAAACACGAAAGAAGGCTCAATGGCTTCGACCTCAGATGCCTGAGCCCCATCCTTGACATTAAATGGCAAGACAAAGTCCCCAACACGGATGTCCTGTTCCAAACAAACATGTGTAGCGTCCCAGCCATGTTAATCCAAAGACGCCTCCGCTGGCTTGGACACGTCAAGCGAATGCAACATGGTCGCATACCAAAGGACGTGCTATACAGCGAGCTGGCGATTGGGAAAAGGTCAGTTGGACGGCCTCGTCTGAGATACTTAGACATATGCTAAAGAGACATGAAGTCGGCCAACATCGACATCTCAAACTGGGAGGAGCTGGCAGAGGATCGATCCTCATGGCAGGGCATCGTGAAGGCAGGATCACTACATGCCGAGGATCAAAACAGGGCGGAAACAGCTTCAAAAAGAGTGAGGAGGAAGGCCGTTAAATACTGCTCCACCGCATTCGTGTGTGGGAAATGTAACAGAGACTGCCATTCGAGGATTGGTCTCACCACCCACATCAAGAGCTGCAAGCAATAAAGATAATCTATCGTCTCCCGTAGACGGAAAGATGCCATACATATCTTTAAATACACACATATATATATATATATATATATATTTATATATATATATACATAGTTTAGTTATAATCAAGCATATTTTATATGAATTGTCATATTTAAAAAAAAAACAATCTCTATACACAACTTTATTTCACAGAAAAGTGATGAAGCTGAATCAACAGAAAGCTCAAATAGCGAGAATATAACCAAGGTATTGTTTGATATTTCGATAATCCTATTCCCCTTCGTCATGTATAAAATGGTTATTTTTATCTTATTTAATACGCATTCATTTGTATATATATATATATATATGATAACGGATCGTTTCTGGTATCAACAACTGATCGAAACTTACATCGAGAGGGGGCTGAAGGGTCCGTTTTATTTCCAGTGGTCAAAAATCATAACGGTTCAGAGAGCCCTCGTCTTGTGTTTGATCGTTTGGTTTTCATTCGGGTTTGTGCTGTATACTGTATTTGGTGACAGGATGAGACGCGCCATCAAGAAATTTATACGTAAAATAAAAACATTAAACGATGAAGGTAAAAAAAAAAAATGTCTTGGAAATCAATTATGCACCCACTTTAGCAGAAAATGTAATGAAAATAAGCTATGGCTTTGTCTAACCCTTTTCTTTTTCATTCCTTTTTTTCTATTTCTTTTTCTTGGGGTGCATTTTATACTAAACCTTCTGGTGATGATGATCTTCACGGTCATCGTGCAGTCTGACATATTTTCTATCTTCGTCAGAGCGATCCTGACATTTGTTATTTATTTGGAAGTCTATTACAAAGATTATCATAAACGTCACAATGAACTGAAGTCGGTTTTCCTGAACTTGCTCAAGGATGAAGGCGTGTACAATGATAGAAGAAACGTAGTCTCGAAAATAACGGCTAATGTACTGAAAACCAAATTCAAGAACTGTAAGATCGGT